CCTTATGTAGTGCCACAATTCTTTTTTTTAAGGTCCCCAGAGAGTTCCTTGCCATGGTGTGCCATCTTGGGAGTTTCAGTGACCAGTATGACAGAGTGTGAGAGCTGTACTACAAATTGAACACACCTGCTCCCTATTCACACCTGAGACCTAGTAAGAGTAACGAGTCACATGGTATTTTGGAGGGAAAATGACAAGCAGTGCTTTGTTTGGACATTTAGGAGTGTAGTGTCTTTAGGGTGTACTCACTTTTGTTGCCAGGGGTTTAGCTATTAATGGCTATATTTTGAGTTTTTTTGAAGGGAAAAATAAATTTACACTGCTATATAAGCTTTACACAGACTACTTTTCATTGTGTCAAAGCGATGTTTCTTCAGTGTTTTCTCTGCAGAAATGTGAGGGGTGTACTCACTTTTGTGACATACTGTATCGTGCTATGTATTGTATCGCAATATATCGTATAGTTGCCCCTATATCGTGATATGTATTGTATCTCAATATATCGCGGAGTTGCCCCTGTATCGTGATACATATTGTATCGCCAGATTTAATACGTATCACGATACAGGGGCGACTCTACGATATATTGCGACACTATAGTATTGCCAGATTCCTGCCAACACACACCCCTAGTCACTAGGTTACCCTAGTTGTTTTAACTAGGCTAACTCGGTCGGTCCAGACGACTGTTTGACTGTGGTGTCCTTGTCCCTCCCCAGGTGCGGTAACACATGAGAGTCCTGAGTCCAGGACTTGTGGTGCAGCCAAGTTTTCGGGACTTCCGCGGAGTCAGGAGCGCAGCAACGGTGAGGTACAGTTCACGCCACCCGTGCCTAGCCCCACCCCGGCCTGGGTGCCCACGGGCTCCCCTGCTCCTGCTGCTGCGGCGGCCCCTCCGGGTTCTCCCCTCCCCAAATTCTCTCCGCTAAGTATAAAGAAGGAGGAGCGTCCAGCCCATGGCCCCACCTCCCCTCCGCTGCTGAGGCCACTCCCCCATGCCCAGCCCCACCCGGAGGAACTTGTCCTTCCATCCCTACAGCACCACGCCCAGCGGGTAATAAGCCACCAGGGGCAGCACCACCCTCTTCAACTCGGTAGCCTCCCCCTCATCAGGTGGGTGGTCTCTATCTCTCTCTGTCCGAGTCGGTGGAGCTGAAATGATTTCACGACAACGACGATATCATCATGTTTGTCTCTCTCTCTCGCAGCAGCAGCAGTCCGGTGGGTTTCACCAGACCGCCCCTCCCCCAGGCCTTTCAGCACAAACCCGGCGGGCCTTTACCCTCGCCCCCCGCCCTGCCGCTGTCCATCCCCGGTCTCTCTACCTCAGAGTACTCCTACCTACGGAGCCCGGCCCATCGCCATCCAGCCATGTTCGCCACCTCAGCCACACTGCCTCGGCCTCCCACCTTACCAACCAACAGCCTGGTGGTACCGGGTCACCTGGGCGCCGTGCCGTACCCAGGTAAGTTCACTGTGAAGAATGCAGAACGTGACGAGAACTTCCTGTTCGTGGCCAAAAAACGTCATGAGTGTGATGTGACTTTAGGCGAATGTTGTCCCTAAGTCTGCCTGTGAGAAGAGCTCCCCCTGCAGGTGCGGAGATCAATCCCAACAACATTAATTTGTAGCGGCTCTGTAGCGGGCCCCAGCCTGAGGGTTAGTTAGTCCAGCTGACCGGGGTCTTAGTCTCTGAGATCCACCACAGAAGTCCCTAAAAATGAGAATAGTCTTGAAAATATGTATTTATATTTAGATTAGTGGGAAATATATCACATTTGACCGTCCACGGGGGATGGGGGGCTGCGGGGGGGGGCAGGTTCCACAGGTCCCACCGGACCCTGTCCAGATGAACAGTCTAGGACTGTCTTTGAAGGGACATTTTCACTGAGACCGGTAGAGAATTATATGGACATTTGTCCAGATTAGTCACAGACTAAAAAAACAGGTGAGAAACACTGACCTCTAGCTGCTGATATTTCTTTTTTATTGGTTCCAGTGATGAACAAAAAATTATTTATTTATTTTTCTGGATTAATCCTGATTAATGATCATGATTGATGGGGATTAATCCAGAGCTGGTCTCTGATTGGTCAGATTGATGGTTTGATGACACGTGCACAGACCGTCATCAGAGC